ACACAGGGTTGAAGCAAGTTTTATTATTTCCACTTTTTTTCCCCGCGAAATTCAATTACACTGTTAATGCAACGTCCGTGTTTTGTTCGTTGAAACATTGCTCAGAAATAACACAGCGCCGGTAACGAATGAACGAGCACGATGCGTGCTCCACATAAAAAAAAAAAAATGAAAAAGAGGAATGTAGATCCCGGGCGAACGAAACTATAACAATGATGTCATAACGCATCCCTTAACTCGATGACCCCCTCGACACTAATTCACGGCTGTTCACGAGTGCGTGGAAATTGCATCGCGCCGTAGCTACAAAGTACGCAATTAACGGTTGAAGGGCTCGCACAAAAAATAGATTTCTCGTCGAGCTGTCGAACGGCATCGTCATTCTGTCGTATCAACAAAACGCCGGAGCCAGGAAATGGAATGAAAATGCAAGCATAACCGAGCCGGAAGAACGGCAACAATGAAATTCACCGCTGGCCGTAAAAACCAGACGAGCAAGTTACCTTCGAGCTGCTTCTGGCTGGATTTGAAAAATTAATTAAATGCCGGTATAAAAAAAAGGGGTCGGTACTCGAAGTGTGGAGCGTCGGTTGGCTCGCAGCTAATCAAGAAGGATCGAATAAATCACGAAGTGAACCGTTAAACGGCCTAATTCGCGCTTCATAAGGTCCACGAAATAATTAATCCTCTAATCGCGAGACAGCGGGCCGCGAAGACCACGAGATTCTCTTGGAACACCGTTTAAAAAGCAATCTCGGCGGCCAGGCTGTAGAGCAGCCGTGAAAATTATTATGCGAGCGAGAGCCACGGGATGCGAGGAACACGCTCGAACGAACGAGCGAGCGTGGGCATAAAAACAGGACAGAGAAAGGTCGAAGGGAGTTTAAAGCCTGCAAGGAAAGAAGGGACGACGAAGATTCTAAAATATGAGAGCTATTAACCGTAGTTCCCTATGAGCATTACCCTCCCTCATGTGTAAATAATGCAACCCACCCTTGCTGGATACTTTGCAGCCCTTCAACCTGTGACCATGGAATGCTAAAGGTGTATATTTACCGTCAAACAGGTGGTGAAGAATTCCCTTGTGATTTATAGGCAATTCCCATAAGCGTTAACAGTACGAGAATACTTAGGAATTCGAGAATAATTCGTATTCAGGCTATGAACAATTGGAGAATAATTCCGGGAATAGTTTGAAAATAATTCTTGAGATTATGAAGAGAGCGAGGTTCATGATACGTCGTGAATAATTAAAAAACATTCTGCTTATAGCTCGCAAATGACTCCTGAATAATAAAACAATTGCAGCTTGAATAAAAGATTCGGTTTTATAATTCAACCCACGAGTTCCAAAATTATAAGGTTCCAATGTTATATTATTTCAGCATTTCAAAATAACAAAGTGATAAAATCGTAATGTCCCAAAATTTAATAGAACCCAGACAATGTTATAATCTTTTAATATACTAAGTTCAAAAATATTATAAAATCCTACGCTTTTAGAATTCCGCAGTTCAAAGTTCTATAATTCTAAAGTTGCAAAACTTCATGATTCTGTGCATGTCTATTGGTTAATTGTGAAGTGGGTGTGCGACGTCTTAGACGCCTTGAGTTCAAGTAGACAGGCACTAGATGTCGTTGCAGGATGTGTTTCTCACTAGTGCTCGCATGTACAGATTCCAAACGCGAGTGTTAACGCAGGGGTTCTCCATCGCAGTCTGCGATAGATTCACCGAATCAGTATTACACTAATTGTAAAGCTCATTTTCCCCTTCGTAAAATTTCGAAAGCCCAAGTCCAATATTTTAACGTCACAGTTCCACAAATGCAAATCCTTAAAATTCCGACGTTCCTTCCCAAACAAGTTTTCAAGCCCTTTTAAAAAATTCCGTAGTCCTGTAAGAAATATCCCAATAGAGACGCAGCTTAATCCTTCGGCATGCACGCGAGGTGCATTCTGTCGGCGTAGCAGGGAAACGAGAGTTTGAACGCGTTCCATAAGGTGTTCGCAAAGCATCAATATCGAGCTCGCTCGCACGACATCGAAGGGGTGGTTCATTCGTAAAGACGCGCAGACGGAAAGTTCCTGGGTCGAAATTAATTTCGTAACCTAATTACGAGGATAATTAGCCCGGAGAGTCGAGCGGTATCGAGAAATTAGTGCAACTTACGAGACGGTTTAAGTAGGTCACTCGCGTTGCTCCTTGTTGTGTCAGCTTGTGTCAAAGCGCAACTTTACTCTGTAACTGAGGGTAGTATTTGAGACCCTGTGCCGCTAATCGAGTGAGTCAACGACGATCGAATTCCACGCATCCCTCTGTTCCGCGAAATTAATGGCGATATTAACAGGTTGTTAATACATCAGGGGTGCTAAGTTTGCGGGTTAACGAGAGACACTGACGAAGTCGATCGAACAGAGCCATGCATGGAACAAGATACTTTATGCGCGTTTCGAAACGACGGTGCTTTGGACTTTTTGTAACGGGAACTTTTACGAAAGCAACGGTGATAAAGTACCTTTAAAGGTAATTTGCATGGAAGTCATAAAAGGACACATCGAAAAAGATAGAAAGGAAAGTTTTAAATTTGCGACAAAAATTTGTATGACGGCTCAAAGTCACACGGGAGCACGGAAGACTGAAGAATATTTAAAAGCTTTTTTAAAATTATGAAAGACCTTTCATATCACGTAACGCCGAAATTACCGAACATTTTACGGAATGTGATTGTACAAGTGCCAGAGTGAATAATTTAATCAGCAGAACAAATATATTCTCTGTTAATCAGCAGAACAAATACATTCTCCACAATTAATGAATACATTTTTGTAATTACATCAGCGACATCAATTTTTCAACTTACCTGTCTCGAACACGAAAGAGCTCTTTCAAAATCGTAATAAATTTCTTTCGCAACCACCCCGTACGTAGTCTGCTGTATCGCACGCAAGTGTACCCAAGTTGCAGGGGGTAACACGAGTTCCAGAATACACGATGTAGATTTTAATACAAACGTACGTGACAAGCCAACTTTTCGTGCCTGCCTACCGGCGAAAATATAATCAAAGACTCCTGAAGATTCCATTTTTCATAGTCAAATTTATCAAGCCTGTTTGCCCTGGTGAAACACGACCAGATGGAATAACCAAACACGCAGGACACCGTAGAGCGAGTGTCGCGTGGTTCCAGATGAAAACGCGGATAACCGGAGTGCATCGCGCGGCAGTAAAAGGACAATGCGTAGGGGTAGTTCCGCGCTCAAAGCCAGGGGTTGGTTGAGCGTCGAAATTTACGCGCGACGCCACTTCGCCGCGCTAAATTTCGTGCCTTTTAAGTCCGGCTTAAACGACGGTTTAGAGGGGCTCGGCGTTTAATGATAAATTTGAATTCAGCCCCGGGTCGTCGGTTGTCCGACGAACCGGACCGT